CATATGCAAGTTGCAGCATCAGGCTTCAGGGTGACATGGCACCACCTGTCCCCTGAGAGGCTGTACAACACAGGAACTGTTGGGAATAGCCTTCAGTTTCTTCAATGCAGTTATCCAGGCCACACATTTTTCACTCTGCTAAACCTCTCCCCAGATGTTAGGAAGAAAACCAAAGCAAATGGAGAGCAAATCCTAAAGTGGTATAGATGCTGTTTAAACAGGACACCAAGGTGTGTCTCTAAATTCAAGAGCATGCTTATATATGGTATTTGAAATACTACATTGCACACAGATGTAACTGTTCTGATTAACCAGGCTCTGAGCTATACAAGCTGCAGAAGAAAGCAGATATACTTACTACAACTGATCCTCATTTTAAGCTGTCAGTTGATTGCACATCCCAAGAAACCTTGGCTTTAAATAAATCGCTCCAATAAACTGAACATGCATTAGTATTTGACTGAGATAGGTGAAAATTGAAAGACAATTGGTTTAGTACCAATATACATTTCAGAAATTTAAATTGCCCAGTTGGAAAATAGGTTCAGTATTGCCAACATTAGCCAAACCTTTAGCTGACACTGGTAACTACATTAACAGAAAAAGCAACTGATTTCTGATTACCCTGTCTGAATCTCCGCAGTCCAGGTGCTGCCTGTATCACACGGCTGCACTGCCTTTGTTTTACACATGTCAAATTGTCAAGACAACAAAGAAGTCAGAGAACAGACCCCAGTTTAATCTCTGCTGTGCAGAGTTCCTGGAGTCTACAAAGGGGAAGACTCCTGGTCTGACCCACGCCTCTGCCTGGCAGAGATAACATCAGTGCACCGCATTTCATGGATGCAATGAGTCAGACACATCTGGTGCAATTTGCCTACCAAGTGGCATGGAAATTACTGTTTCAGTGTTGTAAGCAAAGCCTGATCCTGCTGGGTCCTACCTACCAAATAAGCCTCATTTGTGCCAGCAGTTCCCCGTTACCACTGGGTCTTTTCACTTGACCAAGCATTTGTAGGACTAGACCCAGAACAAATGAGTCCTATTTTCTGCAGCTTTGGAGCCACATTGCCTCTTGAAATGTACCCATTTCTCATTGTTTTAAAAGGAAAAAGGTAAAATTACAGCTAATCTACAAAGAAGGAGCTATTTATTTGCAAGAGAGTACACCCCTTAAGTGATGAAACCAGAAGCCTTACCTACAATGAATATATTTCCACAAGAGATTCAAGGCCACCCATCTGCACAAATTCAGTCTCTAGATGATAGCTAAACCCTTCACAGAACATTAAGAAGCAGCACAGGAATATGATGCAAAATAGAGCTAAAAACCAAAGCATTGACCCAAGCTCATAGAATTCAAAACTCTCAGCACAGAGGGTCCTTTTTGTGACTGGCATTTCTGAGTGCAACTAGGAAGCAGCATGCAGTAACAGCAGGGATGAAAATAAACAATCTGTAACACTACCTCACCTTTATTCAATTGATACAATTTACATGACAGAAACAGTCACATTTATTTTCTTAAACGAGAGCAGAAGCTGTGATGGGCACAGGAAGGCACTGACCAGTCAAGCATTCCCATTCCCTGGGCAAAACCAAGTCACCAAGGCGCAGGGTGCTCTGTACTTTGCAATTTAGTAAATGCAAAGAGAAAAAAATTTACATTATTTTACTTGGAATAAGGGGCACTGATTTTTTTTCCTCTCCTCTAGAAAGTAACTTCTTTACTATTTCAACCTTATTTCAGCTATACCCCAGTTTGAATTACAGAACTCATGGAGAAACTTAATTTACCTCCTCAAAGAACATTCCTCTTTTCAATACCCAGGCTCCTACATATCCATGAAACATGATGCCATAAACTACAACATGAAGAAAAATCATCTAAACAACAGGATAAAGAAATTGTGTGAGGAAAATAATTTTTTCCCCTTTACTGTTAAAGTATTTTTTTATATAAACAAGCTGTAAAACTCCACCAACGTATTTCCAATGGAGTATAGTTTTCACTGCTAAGAAACTTGCTGCATTTTTCTTACAGTAGCTGTAGGAAGTAGCATATTAAAGACCCCCCTAGTGGCTTGTGGAAAGATGAGAGATAGAAAAAGTTTGATAAACAATTCAGCAGATGGAGATGTTTCTAGACAGCATGGTTAGGAGACTGCAGTGTGGGAGTCCTTTATTTTTCATCAGTAAGGATAATTGCATGAAAACAGGAGTTTCCTGTTATTCTGGTATCAGAAGGTCCATTCTTCTGTTAATGAAAATCACAATTAGTCACCAGGGAAGTTTTAACAGTGATACACAAGCAGAAGATGCTAAGATGTGGGGAGAACTGCACCTTATCCTCCTGTTTTTTTCTCAACTGTTTTTGCCCTGGAACCTCACAACAAAAGTTTACACAGGCAGACTACCAAGTCCAACTCTCTGGGTCTTCTGGGAGGATCTGCCCTTTAGTCTAGTGCCTGCAGGATGTGGGCCATGAGTCTCTATGTATTTTCTGTGGTGGGGAGATCACTAGCAATTTTTGACAAGTTAGATTAATTGTGCTATAGATGGTAAAGGAATGCATTTTGCTGAATGACCAGAGCTGCCTACAGACCTTGAAACTATTATTCAGTAGCTGGACCAGGATTTTATCCTAACACATCACAGAGAAGCAAGTTAAGAGCTTTTTTTTGTTTCCTTTCCCAAAACTCTATTTCCATAGACATATGTAACCCTGCCAAGTCACTTTAAAAATTAATAGAAGTGCTGTACATTTCTGTTCCATCTGCAGCATAGCATTGCTATCAACACTGTCTGACTTGGAGCCTTAAAGAAAAGAGTCAGGAGCAGACATCTGGATCACAGAAGAGGTCACTAGACTTTAAATAATGACATTCTGAAGGGAGTTTTAATAAAACTCCTAATGAGTCCAAGAAATTGGCATTAAAAGCCCAAATCACCTTAATACTATCTCTGAATATTCCTTTTGTATCTCTGCTGATAATGAAAATAATGCTTAATAGTATGCAACATTGCCAAAGGAAAAGGAGCCACAAAAGCAGCTCACAAGCACCACAAATCTAAATCTTGATGAAGCTTCCACCTGTGAAATTCAGTTTTGAAAAATTACAATCATGTTGATAATCACATCTTGAGCCCACAGTGATACTCAGTACTTTGGAAAGAGAGATGGATGAAAAATGATCCACAAAGGCTTTTCCAATGCCTAGCCCCATCCATGCAGCCAGCTTGGAGCTGCTGGCCATTGCTCATAAGCCATCCCACTCACTGAAGGGGCTGCACGTGGTGATTTTAATGGCTGTGGCCAAGACATTGAGGAATTCATATTTATGGCAAAAAATCTGACGGTTTCTGCCAGCCCTCATGAACTGAATCGGTGACTTCAACTCAGTTTTTAACAACGGCATGACTCCTTCCACCTCCAGGTGCCTTTGTGGCAGAGCCTGATGAAGCCTTATGTCTCCTTGGACATCAGTGTAACATCTTCTGCTGGCATTCAGGTTCCACTCACTCCCATTCCAGTCAATGAATCTGTAATACGTTTTTGGAGATGAATTGTGTTCTTTTGTATCTGTATCTCAGATCTCCATCAATATAGAAGGAACACCATCAACAAGTGGGTCAGTCACAGACACTCAGACACACACAGACACACAGTTGGTTTCAACTACTTCTTGGGCAACCTCAAAACCACCCTTACACATGCCCTTTCCTGGCAGGTCTTTCACTTGTGTGCTACATGTTTAGGCATAAATACATGGACAATCAAATACCTAATTCACTTGAGCTATTACCAGTTTCCATGAGTATGTTTGTGTTAAATAATTTGGTTGTCCACGCAACAGCAGGCTGGCAATGCATATTAGACATAGAACAGATGACACCTTTCAGCAGGCAATATTCGGCCTACGTGGTCAGCCTGTTAGAAGTTGTTTGAAGCCCAGTTTTTCTTCTTGCCTTATTTATCATTTATAGGACTTGCCTCCAATTCCCTTTTCCAATGGACTCACTATCTTGAACACCAAAAATTGAAGAACTGAAAGCATGAGGTGTTACAGTTCAAAGAGCTACTTGTACCCTCATAACTAGGATCAGACAGAAGAGACCACCACAGGATAGCCCCCAGGGATTGTATTTGCCCAGTAAAACATGTTATCAACATTTGGCATGAAACCAACCTCCTACCTACAACCACTGCCTTGATTTAGGTACAAAAAGCTCAGCTATGGGAAAACTGTGTAACTGCTGTTTATTTAAACCACCACCTTGAAAGCAAAAACAAAGCAAAAGAAGTTCACCCCATGAGATCTTTCCACCTCCACATGCTCAGTCCTCTGATAATAACAGGTCTCTGAATAAGATGACATGAAGATTATAAGGCTACTGCTAAGGGACCAGATTCACTCTTGTAATAAAGAAAATTTTTCTTAGCCCTTCTCTAATCCAGAGGTTTACACAGCTGCTAAGCTTCCTGGAGAGATCCCCTCTTACACAGTTTCCACTTAGGCTCTTACCATTATATCAGTATAAATCTGGACCACGTTAACCTAAAAACACGGGAGCTAACCCAAGTAACATCTCTTAGCAGGACTACACAGTCCAGTTGTACAGTCTTTTGCAACATGGTCCAAAGGGACCAAAACCAATTTTTGTTTCTACAAGAAAAGTTAGACTGCCAACTGATCTGCTTTAGACAACTCACAACTAACTTTGACAGCAACTTGGGTGAGTTACAGGTACAGAAGCCAAGAGCCAGAGCACCATGTGCACACATACAGATCTCACAGGACATGGGGACTATTCCTAGTGTTCCAGCTCCTTGAGTCTTTGCTCCCAGTGTGAGGGAAATGAAGACAAATAAACCCTGTGAGATCCTCCTAACACTTTCATCACTACAGTTCTTTCAACAGGGCTACTAGCCCCACCATCTCTCAGGGATTCTGAAGAGGTTTAAGGGTCAGGCAAACCTACATGAAACCACAACTCACCAAACCTCTCACCCGTGGCTGAACCCAGTGATGCATTCCTGAAGGCCTGAGAGATCCTGTCTTCTGTTCGCCTTGCAGACCTCCCATGAAGCTTTATATCTTCCTCCTCCCAGCTCTTGATCCACCGTGGGGGGAACAACAATGCTGTGATGGACAGAATCCTGTCATCAGACAGAGGGAATATCTGATAAGGGTGATCTTTCCTCTTCAGCATGAGGGAAATTCATTAGGCTCATCCATGGATAGATGCCTTTGTCGGATTCCCTGTCACAGTTCAGACAGCTCATGAGACTGTGACCTTTCCATTTGTTTAAAGGGAAAAAAAAAAAAAAAGAAAAAACAGCAGCAGGGAGAACCCACCAATGCCACTTCCAGCAGCCTGCAACAGCGGAGTGAGAGAGGCACCTACTTGCCACCCGTAAGGAAAAAGCTGCATCACATCTCTCAGGCAACCAGCTGTGACACCCTTTGTGCCTGCTGCATCCAGTCCATAGCACAGTGAACCCTGCACCCAGCAGTTGTGCCACAAGTCTGGCAGTCACACACAGCCCTCATTCTGCTTTGTCACTGAGGAAATCCATCTGTGCTTCCCCTGGCTCTGCTCTATTCCTGCAAGTACTTTTCTCCAGGGCAGGAGGAAAAAAGAAAAAGGCAGGAAAAGAACAGCAAGGAGCAGATTTGTGTCTGCTTTATAAGCTAACAAGATGATTCAGAAGCTGACCCCTCCTCACCAAGCCTTCCACTTGCCAAAGGGCTATGTAATAGCAAGTCTACCTAGTCAGCTCTGCTAGAAAAAGGCCAGGTTTGCGTGCAAGCACATTCATCAAGTCACTGTAACTCATTTTGAGACATGAGATCTCATCAGCATCCCTCTCACCCTCACTAATGTTGCTACTTACCTTCACAGCCAGAAACTCACTCACGAGGACTCCAACACCACTTTGGTACCCAGCATATCATCCAGGATCAGAGGAAAGACTCGCAGGGAGTACGTGTTCAGAAGAGTGACAGAGTGTTTATGGAAGCAAATCATGATCAGAAGCACAAAGTATGTGTCACCCTCATGACACAACAGTAGCTGTTGTGAAGCATGTGCCCAACATATAGGTTGAGGTAAGCCAGGAACCAACAAGAGATGCACATTGCTGTTAGCACCTTTGGCAACCACCTTTTTCTCCAGGCAGTTTTCCCAGGCCCTATTAAGGCGTTTCCACAGCAACATAAACTGCTGACAAACAAAACTTCTCAGACACTTCCAGCCCTCCTCTGTAGATTTCCAAGAAAATTGCACCTATAAATATCCTGATGTTAAAAAGTGTCAGTGAATACTCAAAGGAAAAGTCTGCTTTGAACTGCTGGCGTCAAGGGCCTGATCCACATCCACTGAAAAATGAATTCACTCTCGAGACAGACCTTCCCACATGAGTGCTGTATCTCGGGGAAAATAATAAGTTTTTATCACCTCTTGGTAGACAAAATTCTTGCAAACATGAATGGAGACTAAGCCTGTATAATGTGTAACTATTACAGCAACACTCTCATGAGCCTGCAGGTGGTTTGCAACCATTTGCATGAGATAGCAGCCATCTTTCTTCATCAGCAGGACATTAAATTTTCCAGCTGGATTTGGGAAAATCAGTGGGGGTAAGGCAATATCTGTCATTGCTGTAGTTGTGCAGCACAAAGAAAGTGCACATACTCCAGGCTGCTAAAAAAGGGCAGAGGTAGAGCTTCTCACTGAGAAACAGTATCCAGAAGTTAACTGCTGCCTACAGGCTTTATTCTGAATGGATGTGCAAGTATTCCAGTGTCTGTGGGAAGATCAAAAGCATATGCCTCACCCTTTCACGTGAAGGGCAGCCCTAAACCAGAAGCAGCAGGCTGCGGAAGACACTGCGGCCACCCACAGCAGGAAATGCAAGCACGTGTGGAACAGACAGTGTGTGCGCTGCTCTGAGCCAGCCCCTGGGTGCTGATATCCCAGCCCACCTTCAGAGAGCAACTTTCATGGACAGACGGGCTTCAAGGAATCCACCCAGGCACGAAGCACCACGTGGGGCTGCATCTGCTCACCTACCACCCTCAACCACCAGCAGAGCCTCCTTGGCCCCCTGGAAGGACTGTCAGAGATGGAAAACGTGCCTTGGTGCTTCGTGCAGTCAATGCTTAGACCACATCTCCAAAAGTCACTCTGGCCCTGGACATCCTCGCTGAGGAAGGTAACATGAACCCAAGGGAGTCTGTGCAAAGTAGAGAAATGAGGACAGCCCCTGGCTTTAATATCTGCTTTGAGAAAAGACTAAGGAAATCAAACTTATTCTCAGCACTAGAGGGAAGACTTCAAGGTGACCCAGCCACAGCATTCAAAACCGAAGAAGTGACAGGCACAATAAAGTGCAAGACTATCCAGTAGACATTTTTCTAAATATAACACTGAAGAAATCAGGCAGATTCTTAGGTAACACGGACAGAAATGGTCCTGAACCTGTTTCTGTGAACCTAAAACAATCTTAGGGAATATAATGGAATTGCTTCAATTTACACCATGAATACGGTCTAGCACAAACAATATTTTTACCCCTCACCAAGACAACTCTGTTACTACCTGCAAGCCGTCAGGTGTTTCCCATCCACATTATAAAAGACTTGAGCCCATTGCAATCACTGGAAGGCCTGTGGCAGGGGCTACATCCAGTCATTGCTCATGTTGGCATTGAGCAAACAAACAGGTGAGAATTTCTTCAGACCCCAGACTACCTGTTTCTGTAGATGTAGAGAACAATCTCCAGCAGAGTTTAATTTACTGCGGAACAATCTAGAATGCTTTAGCACCAGTCTCTGGTAGGTATCACAGGGCAAAGGGGTGATTTTGGTGGTGTGTGCCGGGAACCTCAGTGGAAAGCCAGAGCTCTCACTGTGCCCTCTCTGTTCACCCTGTTGAGAGCACCAGTCCTCCCTCTGCACAGTGAGCTGAACCTGAGCATCAGCCAGGTTGTCTGAGCAAGAAAAGTCACAGTAGGGAGCAGAGGGATATAAGCTGCAGTTTTCTGCAAGATGGAGCTGCCAGAAGGCCACAGCCCTATCTGCACCCTGTGCCCAATGCTTGGATGGGAATGTGCCTGGGAACCTGAGGTTCTATAACAAACGAGCAGCTCCCAAAGTGACAAAACAGACTAAGGCTGAACCAAGACACCTGGCTTCACCCCACCACTGCAAGGGATCTGACAAAAAGGGTGGAAGAAGAACAGAAGTTAATAGCTGCAGAATATCTCTAAAGCACTGGATGCTGGAGGAAAAAGAAACTCTCTGCTTAAAAAAAAAAAAAAAAGTCAGAGTGCCCTGAAATATGGATCTTCCTAGGGTGATCACAGAACCAAGTTTTACTTCCTTGCCGTCCATGATAATGTTAAGCCTGTCAACACAGCTGATCTCAGATCACTTATCTATCCCTGAGCCGAGATGGAGGCAGAGGAAACAATGCAAATAGAAGCAGCAGTGAGTAAGGGACTGTGCTATCCCATAAGCTAATGCAGCCACTTAACAGATGGGTCTAGAAAGAATATAATAATCACCATGCAGTGAAAAAGATGCCTGGGTCTTTGGGAATATAAATGTTAAACCTCTCACTGTGTATGAAAACATGTCTATTAAAAGCAACATCAGACAGAGAAATAATCTGTGATATTTTCCCCTCAAATGCTCATGGCACCAAGAGAGCAAGCTGTTTGAGAAAAGTAAACATTTGCTTAAACATACCAGCCTAGTGAGTGACTCCAGATTTTGGGTTTAGAAAGTTACGTAAGTACATACAGCATTGTCTGTTCCTGCTATAATTGACAGAACTGACAATTCTGCCTCAATCCTCACTGCCCTGTTCAGCCACTTCACAGCAGCAGAATATGAGCTCTAGACATGCTGATTATCTCTTGCTGACCTGTGAGATCTAGTAGGGAGCTCTCTGTGCAGAGAAGAGAGCTGTAAATTAGCCTTTGTCCAAAACATACCTCCTGACTTTCACCTCCTCATTCAAAACATAGCAGACACACTCAGGAGTTGACCGGTGCATGCACAAGTCCAGCAAGCAATGGAGCAACAAATGCCAAGGACAGCTCTGAGGAAGAGAGCTGCAAATTGCTTTAAATTCAATGTCAAACCTTCCCCCCAACCTTTTATCAAGGAGCTATATTAAGAGATTTTCAAATGGGATGATCTGACCTCCATGCTTGGTGTAGACAATAGAGATCATTTCTCTATTAACTGCTGTAATAGTTGTACTAGGAAGTCCACTGCAGCTCAAATTTTTGAATAGCTTACGGTAACCCACAGAATTACCTGAGCTCATAACATAACACACTGCTGAGAACCCACAGCTGGCCACTGTCAAGTTCAGCCAGCTCTCTATTACCAAAGGTGTCTGGTGAAGCAGAAGGTAGGATATCACATATAACTGAAAAAAAGATGTTATGGTACTAACAAACATGACCCCAGCCTGTGTTTACCAGCTGTGCCTACAACATAACTTCATTTTCCTGAAACTCTGTCCAGACAGACTTTTGGTAAAGGCAGCCACGATCACATATTTGAGCATGTTATGTGGGAATTTGGAGTAAAGGTGGGGAAGGACTGCCAGGGGATGCTCTCTAGACCCAAACTAGTTCCAGAAAAAACTGAATTAGACAGATTTAAAATTAAGCCACGCCTAAGATGCCCAGCTGTTTGCAGGCATATCAGAAACTCCAGCAGATAAAAGCTTTGAAGCAAAAGGCTATCAGTACAGGAGACCTCTCCTCCATCTCTGCTCCTCTAAATAACGGCACTTGACAAGTTCAGATGTTACTTTTTGTGTTTGTCTCCACTTTGTCACACTTCTTGTTCTTACAGATAGGCTAATGACCACTGGTCTAGAGGTTTATTTCAGCACACTGCTATAGTGACAAGGTGAAAGCATCCTGACTACATACACACAGAACTCAAAACAAATGGACAGTTTGATGCAGAAACTGTTTGGCCCTTACTCAGCTTTGGGTAAGGCATACACACAGCACCCCCTACAGCTGCCAGCTCAGAGATCTCCAGACTCAGCTCCCAGCTCCTCGGTCTAACTAGCCCCTGCATCCAGACTAGACAGCATTCATGGGTTACTACAGCTGATCAGTTGTCTTCAGTTTTGTCTTCCGTCCCTATGCATATGTGCAATAGGAGCAGTGCTTGAATCCTGACCTGAGCAACTTTTCTTGGAGAGGTAATAAAACATGAAAAAAACATGTTCAGCTACATCTGTCCTTATGGCTCCCACTGGACAACCAGCATGCTCCAGTCCCTAAGGTGTGCTTGCTGGTAGATATGCTCACTAGATTATGAAAGTGATTTTATTAGCAGCAGTTCTGATCCCTCATCAATATGTTGTTTCAAGAGATTATGCTGCTTACATTGATTGAATAGAGAAAAATCTCTGCCCAGTTTAATGGAAGACTGCTTTTAATGCTGGTAATAGCTAATTTCCCCCAATTGCTGTTTCCTGCTAAACATACATAAAGGCCACAATCATCTCAGACACCAAATCCCCTCCATAATCACTGAAACTGTTATATATGCCTTTAGTAGCAGAAATACCCTCTAAACTTGTAGTTGCTGTAAGTAACTTCCAATCTATGAGTATTAAATTAGGGTGTTGCTATCAGGAAGCAAAAATAACACAGCAATACTTCAATGCTGCAAGAAACATTCCTTAAGCATTACCTCAGCCTGTTATCCAGTCCTCACTTTTGCCCTTCACGTACTTCAAGCTGACCTGCCACTGTTGGGCTAGCTAGCTCCCCGTGGCCCTGCACATGTACCCAGCTGCTTCCCCGCAGCAGCCCCTCAGCTGGTACTTCGCATGCACAACCCATCTGCTACAGCCTTCCACAGGCCCAGAACCAGCACACAGGAACCTTCAACAGCTGCCAGGTGGCCCTGCTCCTCCAGAACCTAATGCTGCTGCAGGGGGGTGGGATTTAACCCCATCCCTAACCTGCTGTGCTACTTCGCAACAGCAGCACTTGGAGAACAGCTACTTCAGTCATTAGGCTTGCGTTTTGAACATGAACCTGCTGCATGAAACACTGCAGGTTAATGTATATCCCACTTCTTCACATCAGCTTCATCTGAAGGGGCTATTTATTTCATTTGCATTATCAGCAGGGCATACAAATTCTACCAGACCAGGACCTGTGTGAGACATCTGCATCATGCAGACAGCACTCCCAACTGCCAGGCTAATGGGCACAGCAGATGGAGAATGCCCTCTCCCTCCCTGCAGAACCCCTCTGCGTATGCAGACATCACATGTGGGCAGCACAGGTCTATTGACAGATTTTTCACCCCTACCGAGGCCAGATGTATAATCAATTGATCTGGGATATTGAAGTCAGAGGTACAGGAAGCAATACATCTTAGGGTTCTTAACTACCTCTCTGGTATTAGGAAATTAGCTGTTAGAAAAACCTTTAGCTTCCTCATGTTTAGTGGTTCACTACTTTAGCACATATGTACAATTAGCATTTCATTCTCCTGTTCTGCAAACCTGGAAGTTTGCCAAACAGCATCCAAGGAAAGGCTGCAGGGTTTGGATGAACATCTGTCACTAAGTTTCTCTAGCCAGCAGCAGTCATTCCCATGAGCTGAACACACTGCACAGGGAAAATGTCCAAATCCTCACAGAAGCTGACATCAGCTTCCCTTCCTTCCAGACTGCTGTCACTTTTCACTTTTCTGTAGGACTCACGTATGAAAGAATGTGCAAAGCAATGACTTACCTGGGAACAAGATAATCTACACCTTTTACCAGGCCAGCCAAAGTCCCCACTGAATTATATTCTGCACCAGCTGCTCCCCACACAGGATCTAAGGGAGAAGCTGAGGGAGAGCCCTTGTCCAAACAGAGGCCAAGTGCAGACTATGCCTCTCCCTTTGGTCCAGAAAACAGACCTGTTGTCTGCCTTTAGCACCCAGCTGTTAGCTACAGAGAACTGTGCCCTAGCGATGCTTCCTGCAGCACAAGTCTCAGCTTAAGCACTTTTACTTCAGGGTGTGTGAAGCTATACTGCCATGAGATCATGCCCCTTTCTCCTAGCTTGAGGTACAGGGAGCTCCACATAAGAATCACTACACCGAAGCACTGTTAACCATCCAAACTCCCAAACCTAATTAGGAGATCCAGAAATTGGCTATTAAAGGCATGTAAGAGTTTCAGTCACCAGCTGAATTCACCCAGTACCCAGATTTTATTAAATACAGGCTTTGGACAGTACAGAAACACAGACTGTGCTGCAGCATCGAAGATGCCCCCTCCCCACTTTACAGGCTGCCCATGATACACCACTAAAGCTTTCTGAATGACAGGGGAAAGCTGAGACTTGAATCCCCGCTCTCCTTACATAGAAGGCCATCCTCCCATACTTGACAAGTGCTCTCTAAGGAGAGGCTTCCTTACTTTCAATGATTATGTAAGGGTAAAATATTAGGTACCAGGTGGCGAATGCAGCCCTTGCAGACAACAGCATCCAATTACATTAAACATGCATCAAGTTCCAGAATTCATTAAACACCTCATACCAAGGGAAAGAAAAATACAACACCCTTCATCTGTAAGTTGGCAGGACACCAATTTATCACTCCTGCTAGCTCTGAGAAAAGAGCAGGGCTGTTGCAGGATGATATGAATGCTGTTGGACAAGGTATCACAAGCAGCAGCACGGAGAGGGACATCATTAGCAGAAGACAGCTTTCTCCTGACATCACAGCAGGTCCCCGGACAACTTCTGACAAATCGCAACCTGCCAAGAAAACAGCCAACATTTTGTCAGTCCACTCCAGCACAAACAGCAAATATATAGTTTTCAAATGCCCCCCCCCCCCCAAGAATGGTTAGACAGCAAAGGTTGCTCTGCAAACTGTAAAAGCTTCTTCACTGCCAGGCACTCCAAATAGGATGTACTCTTAAAATTGTACTGTGGGAGCTTTTATAGTAGTACTTGATAAAAACCTGGAGGAGCTGACTGAGCAGAGAGTGCCAGAGTAACATATTTGGTCAGCTCTACCAGCTTCACCATCTGACACAGACCACTCACTCCTGAATTCAAGAGCGCCACATAGAAAGGTCACATTTATGCTCTTCATAGATACAGGCTACCAAGGAGACTTCAGCCTCCCTGTAGCTACAATAGCTGCACAACAGGCACCTGAACAGCAACACAAGGCTGTAACTGAAGCCAGTGACAACAGCTGTTTATCCAATAAAGTTCTGTTAAGCATTTTCTAGAGCATTAGTGAAATCCTAATCAAACAGCCAAGTTTTCAGATGTCACAAGAACACCAAAAGCAATCCCTCTATTGCAAATAGACACATTGCTGGAAGCTGACTTTCATCCACACTTCTCCAAAGCATTGAGAACCTCCCATCAGGAGTGGGGAAAAAGAGTAAATAACAAGAACAAAAGCTCCGTGACTCTTTAAGCAGCACCTCATTTTAACACTGCTTAAATGGGGCAAAACAGAAAAGGTATGCTTCTGCCCTTAAACTGAAACCTGAGAGAACTTCCTGTCACTTTCTTGAGCAATAATTCTTTCACTTTTGATCCTCAAGTCTTTCATGGATGTCAGTGTTACACAACCAGTGTTACTGTCTATGCAGACAGCACCCTCCAGTGCTGCCCACCCTCAAAGCACACAGTATACATGTAGTTTCCCTGCAACAGAAGTGCAAGGACACATAGCCTCAAGATGCAGCCACATGAGGAACTGAAGCCTCTTGCATCTGTGGAATCAGTCTGGCTAAAACAGAAGTTTACAGCAGCATTGCCAATCTGGTGGGGGAAAAAAAAGTCTGAAGTAATCATGGCAGATGATCTTCAGCTGAACATTAAAAGGCAATCAATTACATTTGAAAAATCACATCCATAACAACTGACAAGGTATTAATCCCTGCAGGAAAGATAACAAAAGGAAACTTGAGTACTTCAACAGGTGTTGATACTCAGGTCCAACAATTACAAGGGCCCCTGATACAATGCTCAAATCTACACATCTGTCAAACCTCCAAGGACACTGACCTGGCAAAGCATTGTAGAAGCAACCCCCATGCAGAAAGGTGTTTTTTCTCTTTTTTTATTTATTTCAATGAACATAGGTGGATCAAAGACTTACCACTCTCCCCACCAGAGGGGCACAGATGGTGGAGCAAACCAGGCAATGGCTATCATCACACAACTCATCACTGCCAGCCAGAGCCATCACATCAGGTCTCCCAGAGGCTCCACACCCCCTCTGCCTTTGCAGCACCCTACAAGTAAAGCCAAAGAGAACAGTCAGCACCAGGCCCTGCCAGGGTATGGGACACAGCAGCACTTCCCTGCTGGTGCATCAGACATATCTGGCTTGAACAGTGAGAAATCAACACTGTCGCTCTGATGGGGAAAAAAATCAGTCATCACTTACACCAGCAAGTCCCCAAGAGTTACATGGCTGCACACCCTCACTGCTGTACCACACTGTCACCTCCCCCAGCAGATCCACAGGGACTGAGTGAAGTAATGGCAGAGAAAGCAGCAAAGCCATGCACACGTATGGCCACTACTGAACATTGACATCTGCAGTCCCCCCACACTCCCAAGTTGGCCAGCAAGGGGCAGAGCAGAAAAAAGACTCAAGAGGACCAAAGGGACACACTTCAGCCAGGATAGTTCCTGTCCCTTACTGGGGCAGCTGCTCTGAGCAGCAGATCACCTGTTGTCTCCATGCAGGGTGTCCCTAAGCTTGCAGATTCCTGTTTACTAGCCACACCTGCCACTTTGGACATGGTAGAACAGGAGCAACACAAGGCACAGAGGACCTTGTGGCAATTCTTCTGCATGAGGGAAATCTGTGTTTTCACCTCTACAGTATCTACACTAATGTTCAAATTTACATGTCAGTCAATTCTCAGGGACAAAGACTTCTAGAAGCAACTCCCATGCAGAATGGTAATCCCCCCCCCTTTTTTTTTTTTAATCTAAAGCAATGACCAACAGTTACTTTAAGGACTTACCATTCTGACTTGCTAGAGGAAAGCATGATGGAGCAAACCAGGCAAGTACCCCATCACAACACTCATCACTGCCAGCCAGAGCCACCACATCAGGTCTCCCAGAGGCTCCACACCCCCTCTGCCTTTGCAGCACCCTACAAGTAAAGCCAAAGAGAACAGTCAGCACCAGGCCCTGCCAGGGCATGGGACACAGCAGCACTTCTCTGCTGGTGCATCAGACATGATCTGGCTTGAACAGTGAGAAATCAACACTGTCGCTCTGATGGGGAAAAAATTCAGTCATCACTTACACCAGCAAGTGAAACCATAAGCTGGTCTGAAATAACTCTCTAAAACTCGTTTTGGAGTTTTAGAAAGTAAGTATTCTTTATTATGGTGCCAGACGCACAGGAGATGGCTCCACCTAATGTGCACACTGGGGTATTCAACAGCACCAAATATATATGGTTAAAGTGTATGTATTCATCAGTTTCCCAAGAAATTAACATA